TAATATATATAATATATATTATATATTATATTATATATAAATTATATAATATATATTATATTATATATAAATTATATAATATATAATATTCATATAAATATATTATAAATATATAAAAATATTTTTTAAATAATATAAAGTATTTATAATATGTATAAATATTTAATATATGTAATATACATTAATATTAATTATAAATATTATAATATTATAAATATGGTGTTTATATAATATTTCAATTTGTAATATTTATTGTATATTTCATTATATAAATATTCATATAATATATAATATATAAATATATAATTTTTAATTTTTAATTTTTAATTTGTATAATATACATAATATTGTATATATATAATATAATATACATAATATACATTATTACATATTATGTATATTATATATTATACATAACATTATTATACATTATTATACACAATAATGTACATAATAATATTCTACATTAATAATGTATATATATTATAATATAATGTACATAATGTATTATGTATAAATATTTGCACATTTATGTATACAATATTACATATTATGTATATTATATTATATTATGGTTAATATACAATATTATGTATAATATTAATGTATATAAATATTTATATAATATATAATATATATAATTTTCAATTTGTATATTTCAATTTATATTAATATAATATATATAATATACATAATTGAAATATACATATGTAGTTGTTTTTGATATAATGTTTGGATATGGTGTTTTTTGAGTTGTTTTGGAAATATACATTTACTGTAGCATTTAGAATGTGAAAAACAGTTTTTCAAAAACAGGCCCAAAAACAAGGGATCCAAACACACCCTCAGGTTCCAAACAGGCCCTATATTTATTCTTCAACCTTTCCTGCCACTTTTCAACTCCTTACCATTTTCTTCCCTCCTTCCTCCCCCTGTACCTAACCTCTAAATTCATATTCCTGCAACCCAATATATTTAACTTTACCTATCATAATGAAAATTGATTACAATGGTTGTAATTTTTAGTATCTAAAAATGGGAATGAAAAATTGATAATATCTATAATATTCTCAAATACTACAATTAATATATATATATATATATATATATAACATAGCAAATACATATATTACATATGAAGACAGCAATAAGAATACATAAAATAATTGATGATATCAAAAGTTATTCTCAGTGTTTGGATTTTGCACTCTTATTCAAATCTAATGTCAAATTTGGGTCAAATATATACAAATTAAGTAGTATTTTAGGGTTGAATGTTCTATATTTTTCTTCTAAACTATAATGTTACTTTTTTTAAAAAAAATTTTGATAGATTGGTGTTGTTATTATCATTATTTTTTTTTCAAAATGAATATTTCAAAAAAAAAATTCATGTTAAAAGCTAGTAGTATTTTGTTTTTTATTTAGTGATTTCATAATTTAGATTTCATGAATGGTACCATTTTTTATTTTTTAAATCCATGACATTATTTCCTTTTTGCTTTCTATTTAATTTTGCCCTTTTACTTAGGATTACTAAGTTAAAAGATAAAATATTATCATTTACTTTTTTACTTTTACTAAGTTGGCAATATTTTCTTTTTATTTACCTTCCCACTAATAAATTTCAAACCAAATTCTTATATAAGCAGAACCCTACTCTTTTAAATTAGGAAGGCATGGAAGCCACATATTACTCAAGAAAATGTTATTTGCACTCCATTTTTTATTATTTGCAATTCCACCATTTGTTTTATCATTTAGTCTAATTAATGAAAATTATACGATCAAAATGATTATTGAAGTATGAATAACAAAAATGGAGTGTAAATAATCTTACTTATTTAAATTAATAAGAAAGCATGAAAGGATGTTATATTTGTTATCTCTTCTTATGGTCTTATAGAAGTTTTAATTGTTGTAGAATCATAAATAACGCAAAGCAATCGGAAATGTGATGGGTTGAAATTCAAATAGGATAACATGCACATTAACTAATAATTTGAAATGAAATAATTTTAAAAAGTAACTAACAATTTCAAATGTGAAGAGTAGATATGGGAAGTTAAGAGGAATATATTTTATAAATTAAATTAAATATGAAATGCTAAAAAATTAGAATTAGTAGTGGAAAGATATGCGAAGGCTTCTTCCTAAAAATCCATTCTTAAATTTATATAAATATAGATTAGGGAAAAAGAAATCCAAAAGAATTCAATCAACCACCACCAGTGCAAACGGTCCGCAAAATCACTTCGCCTTAACACGGGAGATATATTTAATCGGACTTGTTTGCGAATTTGGCCGCATAGTTTTCGAAAGGATAGCAATGTTCTAGAGCGATGGTGGTGGCCTGAAAATATGCCGCGTGGCCGACCCTCAAAGCTCCAGCTAAAATTACTGAACAGAGAGAGACTTGATTTGGAAATGGCTCATCCCGCATAAAGTTGAGGCCATCGGAAGATTTTTTGTCGTTCATAATTGCTTTCGTTTTCCGCAAATTATGAATAGCTGCCGATCATCACATCTCATGCCGCGGCATTGTCACGCCTTCGCCTTGTTTGGGATCCACTAAATGTCATCTAATTGCAATTGGCAAAGAAATCTAATTGCCAAATGAACAGCGTTATACTATTCATTTTGTTAGCGGCTTCTTTAAGGAGTTTCAGTTTCAAGCATTTTCGCATGTTGTGAATCATTTTCACTGATCAACTTAAAAGATAAACAATGGCAGAAGATCATGAACCATAATTTATTTCATTTTGTTAAGCTCAATGTTTCTTACTTTGACACTACATACACTAACAATTGCGTGCCACGTGTATGAGAAAATTAAGAGTTCAAATTCAAATGATTCAATATGTATTCAAACTGATTAGTTTAAGAAAGATTAATCCATTATAACAAGTTTAAGTTACTTGTTAACTATGCAACATGTAATTACACTTTATTTGGGCATTCTAACCAAAATCAACTTGCTCATACCCGAGCCCTGTGTAATAGTTAGTGTCTGTTTGATAATATAAAAAAGTGCTGAAACTGAATTCATTCAAACATTTAGATGTTTTTGGTGTTTGATAAATAAAAATTTTTCTGTTGAACTTATTAAGTGGTGCTGAATTTGTATGTATTTTTTTCAGCACAATAATCGTAACTGAATGCTTAATTTGATAAGAATCAAGAGATTTACTTCAACTATTTTATCTTATCAACCAAATCTATCATTGTTTGTTAATTACATTCAAAATCCTTATCTAATTAAACAACCTAATATTCTCTATCCAAAATCCTTATCTAATTAAACAACCTCACATTCTCTGTCTAATGGCTTTCTATTTCTATTTTCTCCCTATTGAATGACTTTGTTACAATTTCTCCATGCTACTCACATCTGTCTACTCCTTATCTTTTTACATCTTTCTACTCTTTCATAATTTTGTCATTTTTTTCCTCCCAAAATTTTTTATTGCTACCGTACTCTCCGATCTCAAATTCATTATTTCAAAGGTAGCGTCAACATTTTTCCATTGAAGTAATTAAATTTCTATATAATTTGGTGTGAATTTAAAACTTGTTTATTGCAGCTTCCTTTTGCTTATATTTGAACTTTTCTTATCAAACTCTGATTTAAAAATATATTTGCACCGATATTTGGACTTTTCCATAATATATTTCTTCTTTTATATTACTTTGATTTAAAAATAAATATTATCATTTTCATACTTAAAAATTTTAAATTAATTAAATCATAGGTTCTATTTCCTTTTTGGATTAAAAGATAGAAGGACAAAATTGTACAATTTAGCTTATTAAGCATTAAGTTATAAATATTTATCAAACAGTATAAATATGTTCAGCATTAAGATTCAGATATTCATATATCTCTTTTAGTGCTTAATATTCAGCAAATTAATTGTTTCATTATTTAGAATTCAGAATTCAAAATTCAAAATTCAGATTCAATTTTATCAAACGGAGCCGTAGTTAGTTACTAGTTGGACATAGCAACCAAATTAAAGTAGTAGTATTTTGAAAAAAAAAATACTAAACAATAATATGATTTAATAAATTTCAAAAAAAATGCCAAATAACTGATTATTAGTACTTATAGAAATGAAATTGAATTTACTAGTAATTTCAAAATGTACCAAATAACTAATTATTACTAGTACTATTTTTATTCACAAAAAATGCTATTATAATTATTTCGAATAACATTTCAAATGGTTTTCCATTATTATTTGGATTAATTTTTCATACACTGACAGTATACACATTGTTGGATTTAAATGAATAGCAGTTATATAAAATTTGAATTTAAACTCCAACTCTTGCATATGTATCGTGAATCCAACAATGATAGTATATAGATTTACTCTTATTATTTTGGTTGCTAGTACTAGTAATTTGTAGAAATGCTGGCGCCAGTAGTTATTTGAGCAGTAGTGGATAAACGATAGCCAATAGGAGTCACAAAAATGTAAAATCACTTTCAATTAAGTTACAAAGGCAGTAAACAGTTTTTTGGTACCTAGAAATTTGCCTGCTGTCAAGAACAAATACATCTATCAATTCTACTTGAGTGTATTAAACATATACTATAAGAGAATTTTTCGAGCAATACGTAATCTAAGATAATTTTCACAGAAACAATTGAAAAAAGTACTAATCACAAGAAATTTCAACCAGTAATCCCTGAAAAAGAGGTCAAAATTTTATGGAACACGTGACATTCCAAGTCCCAAATGCCAATCTTCTCAATTTTGATGATTTGGGGGTAAGAAAAAACAAAGAAAATGATATGATATTAATTGTTTTTTTTTCAAATGCAAAAATTCTGAATTTTAAGTAATACATTCAGTTACTAAAAAATTTGGACAATGCATATGACCATGTGAAATCACCATTCAAATACAAAATATATAGAAGTGAATAAGGAACCAAGACTATCAAAACTTTGGGGCCTCAAATTGGCGGGAAAATGTCCATACAGCCCAATGCTTCAGCAATATATACAACCCTAACTCACTCTCCTCAGCACCTCCCATAACTTCCTCTCTTTCCAATCTTCACTCTCTAAAATCTTCTTCAAGGCAGTAAATGACAGTCAAATTGATTACCCCTTCGATTTCAGCCATGTGATTTAATTTTTGCTTTTGAGAATAATCTAGGGTTTCTTCAGCTCTTTTTATTTAAAATCTTTTTCAAATTTTTTTCCCGAGGCTCCTGAATAATGGCTGACGGGTTCGAAGATGAAGTTGAGCCAACGATTTCAATCGGCGAGTACCTCGAGGGCGTCGAGGAACAGGAGCTAGTAAGCTTCTTTCGTCGTCGAAAATTTTGAATTTTTATTCATTATTTTCGTTTGTTAACTATAGTTGTTAAATTCGGCATTTTTTCAATAGAAGTTACGAACTTTCTCTTTTTATTTTCTTTTTTTTTTTTGAGCTTAGAGCTTGTTGATTTTCCAATGATTATGCTTCATGTCAAGCATTTCCTTTGTTAGGGATGGGGTTAACGCGAATTTGTACCATGAATTAGGGTTCTTGTAGTATTGATCATGATAAATCAATTCATTCTTAGATGAAGTAGAAAATTAATTCCAATAGTATCCTAGTGTATAACTGGTTGGGTTAGAGGCAAACTTTTTTCTTTATAAGGGATGTTAAGTCAAGTTAAAACTTGCCCTATACAAAATTAAGCTTTTATATTTTTAACTTTTTTTCCCACACATTTTAGACGTGAGAGAAAGGGAGAGGAGTGGCATCTAGTTTTCAGATCAGGAAACAAGATGCTAAGCTTGCTAGCAAGTGAAATACGTGCGCAAGCAATTCAGTATGAGGGAGCATTTTATCGTCTTGGTATTATCTTCAGTTGATGTCTGCGTTAGAAGGTCATTTACTGAAAGGAAAAAGAGTCTCGGAGGTTAGGCTGAATTATAGTAGCTTAAAAGTGTTAACCTAAGATACATATTTATGAGCCATTCCATGTCTAACCTTTGTTGCTGTACTTATATAGTGTACAGATTACCTTTGTCTGACAATTGGAACTCATAGGATAATATGAGATACAGTCGCAATCTCCCTTGAGTTTTAAACCCAAAATGAGCACCTTCAAATCTAGGTTGCCATATTACTGTGCATGTAATGTGCTTTTACAGCTTATATTGCTCATAATTGTAGTCTAAGTTTTCATACTGATATTGATGATTACCGTTAACCCATCTTAGCTTTATGGATTAACTGTTGTAAAAGGAAGCAGATTTGGTCCTGGGTGGTGATGAGGGGAAAGAATGCACATACAACAAAGGTTATCTGAAGAGGCAGGCCATATTCTCTTGCTTGACATGCACACCAGATGGGAATGCTGGGGTTTGCACAGCCTGTAGTTTGTCCTGCCATGATGGCCATGAGGTATTGCTAAATTTAATAACTTAAAGCTACTTTTTTTGCTTTTTTTTTGTTTTTTTGGGGGGGGGGGGGGGGGAAGAGGCTGATACCTCAGGAGCTAAATGTCTCATGTCAGTTTTGTTACCAATGATTGATTAGCTACTCCTGTAGTATATGATTCTCTACATTTTAGTATCAATACTGAGGAAGAGGGCAGCTGTTTTCTATGTTGTTTTGGGAGCAGCGGGGGAGGCATTACCCAGGGAATTGATGCTGTCTCGTGCAATTTAAGTTACTATTAACTTTATCTATTGAAATTTCATAATCATGTTTGAAAAATCTCCTAGGAAATGTTTTGATGAGTGTTATTTCTGACCGATGTAGCCTGAAGGGTGAACATGTTAACAGTTTTGGTAATGGATTTAATAGCTATATTCATGCTTTGCTAAGCTGCCTAACTCGAATTTTGTCCGTCTAACTCTAGATTAATATTTGTAGCAAGGTAGAGGAAGATGCTAGCCGAAAATAGCTTACTTGGTAGGCAGTTGTTGGTGAGAGAAATTTTATAGCATACTATGCATGACTTAGTGAAGAGATGGCCTTGACTGGGGCAAAATGGAAAAAAAATGGCCCATATTCTATTGTTTACACTTTTTCTTGCCTTTCCTTCTCCCTTGCTTAAGTTTAGTTCTAAAAAGTTATCCAAGTATCGCCTACTTTTTAGTTAGATTTGTATATCTAAAACGAAGGGATATTCTTTGCCTTGTGTTTTGTTTGTGGCTACTGTAATAATCAACCGAGTTGTATGATTGCTTTCTCGTATTTAACTGTGATGTTTGTGTTGCTTGGACAAGATTGCGGAACTTTGGACCAAGAGGAATTTTAGGTGTGACTGTGGAAATTCAAAATTTGGAGAGGCCTATTGTAAGCTATTTCCCAACAAAGATGTGGAGAATTTGGAGAATTCTTACAATCATAATTTCAAAGGTTTATATTGCACGTGCAATCGCCCCTACCCTGATCCAGATGCTGAAGAACAGGTAGAGATGATTCAGTGCTGCATATGTGAGGACTGGTTTCATGAGGAGCATCTTGGTCTTGAACCTTCTGATGAGGTGTGCAGTTGTATTTTCAAATATCACTCTCCTACCATTTTACCCATTTCTTTCTCTCTTTATTTCCTCTTTATTAGTTTCTTGTGACATTCTTTCTCCATCGTGCTGAATTTTAACATGTAGGAAGAACAATTGAATTTAGTTGTACATTTTGAAATGTTGCAGTTAATTCATGTCAGAAATTGACCTAATAAGACTAGCACTTTGGAATCTGTATCAAATTTGAAGGATTGACATTCATCAAGTTATACAAATGCTCTAACCTGGTTGACTCTATTCTCCAGTGTGACAGTTCCTGGACATAGTAGTTTGTAGGATTTGGTCCAAGTGTGATTTAAGAATATTTTTTTTTGGCTCAAATCATACGGTTATACTTTTTTCATGCATAGAATGTTCCATCATCGACTAGTTAATTGACCATATTGAGAAGCCAGATAGCTTTTTGCCTTGCTGCTTTGCAAGGCAAAGCTTATGTGATGTTTATTTGTTTTGTGGTCAATGACAAGAAAACTACTAGCTATTTTGGTTATCAAACAAATATGTAAAATAATTTTACTACTTTACATTTTTTTAAAAATAAAAAACAACTATTTGCTACCATTAATAGCTTATCTTTGAATGTTTCACATGCAGATACCAAGGGATGAAGAGGGGGAGCCTTTGTATGAGGACCTAATATGTCAGGCTTGCTCGAACATTTGCTTCTTTCTGACTCTTTATCCTCAAACTATTAGGGTCACAGTCAGGCAACCGCATGTAGCAAATTCTGCCAAGGATAAAGAAGTCATTGAAAATGCTCCTTCATGTTTTGCATCATCAGAGAAGCAACATGGAGATTGTTCAGCTGACACTTCTACTGGAGATTCCACTTCTGGAGCTGTCTCTGTTGGGAAGGGTATTCTCATAGGACAAATTAAAGCCAACACTGCAGTTGTGCTGGAACGCAGTCAAACTGCAGGCCCAAGTAAGACATGTATTATTGGGACAAATCTGCTTGAAGCAGCACCAAAACCGGCGAAAAGCAAAGCAATGTTATTTTGTAAAAACTGGAGAGAAGTTCTCTGCACATGTGAAAATTGTTTAGACTTCTACTCTCAGAAAAGAATTAGCTTCTTGCTTGACAGAGAGGATTCAATCGCTGAATATGAGAAAATAGGAAAGCAGAAGAGGGACGAAAAGCTGCAGCAACAACAGGGTCAGGAATTGAGTTTCCTCAGTAAGCTTGGCCATGTTGAGAAAATGGAGATTTTGAGTGGCATTGCCGACATGAAAAATGAGATTCATTCTTTCCTGGTATGTTCCTAAAGTATATTAGTACTTAATATCATTGTCCAGTCATTACCTTGCAACTAACTGTCTGAGAAAAATTTTGTCGACCTTTCCTTTGTCAGGAGTCTTTTGACGCATCAAAACCGATCACAGCTGATGATGTTCACCAGGTCTTTGAGAATCTTGCCAAAAAACGTAGGCGTATGCCGTAATCTGCAAAGTGGATCTTTGTTGCAATTTGCACAACTTGCTTTGCTTGTGACCAAATTGTGGGCTTGTCCAGCAAGGTTGCAAACGGCAACTCTTTATATGAGATTTGACTTGCTCTTGCTGGTCTGTGGTAATGGAATGTAAACTTAAAGATTTGTGTAATTATTGACATTGAAGTCCCTTTACTTCTGTCTGTTGCACTGGGTGCCTTGTAGCATATTCTGTGTTGATTAGGTTAAAACTGTGATATTAGGAGGAGTTTTCAGCTCGCCTTTTCTGAGAGAGCAAACGCTTCGGTTCTGTTTTCAACTCTTCTTGGACCACTCAATGCTATTGTATATACATCAGGACCAGGAGTTTAATGTGGCATGTTATTTTATTTTATTCTTGTCTTTGATCATCAATAATAACTTGCAGATCCTCAAAAGGGAAAAACGCTGGAAGGCGATACTGTACATATGAGTATGATGCGGTCAATCCTCCCTAAACTAATGAACCAAGGGCAATAGACAAATCCGTACACGCTTATTAACTGAAACTTGTTCCATCATAGTTGGAGCAGCTAACTGGAAATTGGGGTGATTTGGCCGTCTTGAGTCATTAGTTTGAACTCTATCCTAGCATAAACATAGATCGGAACCTCTGACAGATTAAGAGTGTCTTTGATTTTCCTCCCTTCTTTGTTTGTTTGTGCTCAAAAGTCCTGTAGCATTCTAGGTTCCCCCTGGGCCTTCCGTTGCATGATACATTATTGAATCCTTTGGGGTCTTCTTTTGAGATTTTACTTTCCTAGGTTTGTGGCTTGTAGTGTACCTATGCGGCCGTCGTGGTCCTAGTGGCAAGACTGGCAGTTGAGTTGAGCCTCTTGGTTGCATTAATGATGTCTAGACTACAGGCCTTAGATTTAACACTTCTTCTGGTGGATTAGGCTTTGTAGAAGTAAATTTCTGTAGTGTTTGAGAGTTTGATCTCCGTATGCCTAGCTCTCACCATGCCAAAGGACATAAATTGGGAGCTCATGAATAGGTTGCTGGAGTCATTTCGTTATGCGCTTATGCTGCAATTTTACGTTGGCACAAAAAGATGAAATTTCTCCGTTGCTGCGATAGCTTAGTGATTCCCCTTTATACATTTCTTGGTTGAATTAAGATATAAGATTGCACATTTTGCTCCTTGCTGATTGGGCAGGGCCTTTGACATTGTTGCGCTGCTGTGGTGCTGATGGGGAATTGACGCGAGCAGCTCGTCATTTCAGAGTCCTGAAGCGCTCTCCGCTTTACTTTTTAACCGTAGATGGAGGAGCCTGATACGGAAGTTGTGATCCAACCTTGAGTTGTGGAGCCTGTTCCTATTGAATCATTAGGTAATGAACATGTGGAGTTTGGCTTAGCTCCGGAGTCGACAGGAGTGACGCTTGGCTAAGGAAGGCTATTTTGCTTTTTGCTGATTACAACCATTTGACTCACCTTTCCTGTCCCTTTAATCTGGACTTCTCTATCCACATGTGAAACCGTCACCGGGGAAGATTTTCTTGCCAGAGCTGCGGGCCTTCTACACTGGAAGAAAAATGGGGTTAATAATAACAAACATCTATGGTTTTCAATTTCTTCCAGGACATCCTATAATGGTAATTCCCATACCAATAAGATTGTCATGGATAGAACTGTTGCGGAAAATTGACTAGAAAGACGTAATTTGTAACTGTGCAGTTACAAGCTGCGGCGGACTAAAAAGTTGTCGTAAAATTGCCTTGCTTGGATTGCTTGTTTCTGTCGGAAAATATTATCGTTTTCCGTGATCACATTTTCCTATCACCTTTTTCCCTCACATATATCAAATCGCTACAGTAATTTTTTTATGAAAAATGACGAAAACTGCAATTCAAACACAACACAAGTATGTCTGAAATCCAGGTATTGTTTTTCACAGATCAATATAATCTGACCTTAACCCTGTTTTCTCTTGCTTCAAGATTATTTACCCAGTACTAGCTGCAAATTGCAATCACCATGCATGAAGACTTGCTCAACGCGTAGGACAAAATTAGGTTCTTGATTGCTTCAAAAAGAAATGAAAAAAAAGGGTAGGTTCTTGGTGTCTCCTCCATTGCATAAGCAGAGGTGTTGTGTTGCTGTGCTCAAACACTACAGTCAAAAGAGGTCTCCTTCCCCATTAAAGAAACAGTCCTTCCCTCTCTCACCTAAAATCGTGGACTGTCGCGTGAATGTCGCTTTCCACCGCTCTTTGATGGGTGACAACAAATCTTTCATTTGTTATTTTCAGATTCTCTTTTCTTTCTCGCTAAAATGAAACGACAAAATTACCTAAACCAAATCATTAATTAACTGGTCATCTTTGGAAAATATTTCATGACTAGCATCCTTTTTTTAATCTTTTTTTGCTAGCCCTAAATCTTTTTTTTTTTTTTCTTTTTCAATGACAAAGACTAGCATCTTTTGTCATTTAATCTTGTCCATGACCATGTCAAACTTGATTGTCTCCCTGGAAATTTTTTTTTTCTTTTGCATGGCACGTCAGATTGAGTCATGGTTACGTCAAAAGAAAAAAAATGTCGTGGCTTTTTGGTATTTTTGACGTTCGAATTGTTCGCCAAGTGGGCCTTGTGTCAGTGGCCTTTTCGCATCTTACAACGCATGAGTAAGAGATGCTTGTCAAGACAAAGACTCCGCCACAATAAAATTTTTGCTTTCCCTTGAAGCACGGATTGAAAAAGGGAAAGCACTATAGAGGAAATTACCCTCGAAACACCAGGAAAAGGCCCCAAAAAAAAATTACGGTCCTCAACAGCCATTGCTGACGCTGGTGTTAAGGTATTTAGAAATTATTATTATTGTTTTTCATGAATATATAAATTTTGTTTTTACACGAATAAATTTAAGTAAATTTATATGCACTGAATGTATAACGATTGGATGGATGACACGTAAGCAAATTTTGAATTTTAAATTCAAATTTTGCTCATGTGTCATATATCTAATGGCGAATGCGCATACACTGACATTATATATAAAATTAATTCAGTAAACTTTATATATAATTTTCATTAGGAAACATGCTTTATCAGTAATTTTTTTCTTAAGTAAGATTATAGTTAATTTGATAATTAATAATACTTAGAGTTGACAAATGATTATACTTGCAAACATGTTTAGGTGATTAGGGTGAAGGACAGAATTAAAAATTCAAAAAATGACAAACAAGTGTGCACAGTTGTTCCTTTACGTATTGCATAAATGATCAAACAGAGCGTAGGTTGAATATTTGAACCTTGAATGTGGAATATTCATGGGAAGAAGACATCCAATAATTTTGTTTGATTATTGGGTGAAAGAAGATAATCAGCCATTTCTACGGTAGATTGTACTAGAGACAAGTGTTAAGATCTCATTTCGATTGATATATTTTTAAAATATTTGTAAAAAAATGTAATGTAATGATTTAATAATATATGTGAGATAGAGAGGTGATTGAAAAATGTGTTTATAAAAAACATAAATTTCATTTTTTTTTTAAAAAAATAATGGCAATCCAGAATATCCTTCTGAAAATTAATGAGCTTGGAGCTCCGGCGTCCGTGGGCCAAGAATTAGGCCTTAGATTTTGTAGTCTTTCTTTTTCTTTGGACCAGATATCAATAAAGTCGCCGTGCTGAAAGTATACAACATATTGAAAACAATGGTTTGCTTTAAGTCAATCTTTCACACTTGAATTATTTCAAACGAATCGTCATACATGATCTCGAGGTATCTTTTGCCTTGTAAAAGTGATCTTTTCATCTTTTTTTTTTTTTTTAATCTTCTAGGAATCTTTTGCCTTGTAAAAGTGATCTTTTCATCTTCTTTCTTCTTTTTTTTTTTTTTTAAATCTCCTTGTAAAAGTGATCTTTTGATATTTTATTTGCTCCTTTTTCTAGGAATCCGATTCTACCCGATAATACATAAACCAAAAGAAAAAGAAAATGTTTGCCCTGAGATAAACACATACACTGGAAGTTTAGAAGCCAATCAAATGAAAAGCACAGGAGATCAATAATAATGTCTTCCCGTTTACTTTTGGGGAGTGACAGTAACTAATTGGAGATGGTCTAACAATCTGACTATTATAAAGCAAGCTTGAATTGTTGAAAAATTGATGCAGACTTACATTTGCGACTTGTGAGTCAATATGCTGGCAAGTTCTTTTTTGAGACTGACCTTGCTCTGTATATCGCTGAATCTGAACCTTTAATTTAATGTGAAGCACTGTCAAGAACTTGCATACGTATTAGAGGTGAAGATGCTAAAATGGCTAAATACTCCATACTAATATATATTATTGTTTACAGAAAACGATTACGGTCTACGTAATGTTTTTCTTTGGAGGAAAACAGCTAATCAGACTGACGCATTCCAACAAACTGCTGCAGTCGTGGACAACAATCCAGGAAGATAGACAGGAATTTAAAGAAACAAAAAAGAATTACTAATATAATATGTTTGTGAAGGAGAAATAACGGTATAATAAGGGACGAGCAAGGAAGTGAAGCAGAAAATCTATCACGTAAAAGAAAGTGGCTCAAGAATACTACTACTACTGTGTAGCCTATGCAGTTGCTTACACAGTAGTATATCTCACACATATCCAAATTTCACAATCATGGTAATCAACGCTACTATCTCATTAAGGGACTCAAAAATTGTACATTGAAGTTCTCAATCTTCCACATTGCAAATATTCCCCAGAAAAAAATTAATTCAACATGCATTCAACTTAGCGCCATTGACGGATTATAGTCAATTTGAACCTTTAGTAATGTTCAGACGTTCTAGACGAATGTCACTCCCAGAGCGGTGCTCAAGAAAAACCAACGAGTTTTTCCACTGGCTGGAGGATATGTGTACATGGAATGGCAAATGAGACTGCATCTTGAATAGGAAAGCATTTGAAATAATTATTAGTATTTCTTGTGATGTGATATATGTAAGATTAAAAAATATATTTGCGATCTAAAATATTATTTAGAAAAATTATTATATCCAACCACAGTAGATAATGCCACGGTCCAAATTTTACATCCACAAACCGAACTGCTCCCGTTTTTCCGATTTTGTTTGGTCCCATTCTTATTGAACATAAACTATAAAAATTAAGCAGTAGCTAAAACAGGAGGCGAATTTGAATTTTTTTTTTTTTATTTAAAGTTTAGCTTGAGTCTCTCTTCTTTTCTGAGTTTGTTAAGGTTTTATCAGTTTGGAGTATTTCCTTGCAACAGTTCAATAAAATATGCATTTGGTATAGGGATTAATTTTCTCTGCAAAACGTGTACTAAAATCAGATTTCTTTTTTTTTTTTTTTTAAATGGATTTGTC